GGGAGGGCTCAAGGAAGGGCTCAAGGCCCACGTATTCCCTTCACCTGCACATCACATCTATTTCCCCCCTTTACGCTCACACCACATCCAATCGTCTTTACTTTCTCGCTTCCGCTGCGACGGTACGACCAATGGAATGGTTGCCCGGAATTTTGGTTGTCGTCGATTGGCGGGCCATTGGGTCTGTTGTTTGGGACTGGGGCTCGTGGACAGCAACCAGGGCAGCCAGGTCCTCCATTGCCCTCCTGGCCACGCTCCCGCGAGAGTGCAAATTGGCAACTGTGCATGCCACAGCAATCTGCGCAGGAGAGGATCCCATTTACTATACGACCTCAGGTTTCGGGCCGATGGAGGTCAGCTACGGGTGGCTCTTGGTAGGAGCCGGGACGGGACTATGTGCAGGAATCTTTCTAATGGCTATGGTGTGGCTGTTGTGCAACGTTGTGCGTGCGGGCAAACCAATGCCACCGGATCTACCAATAAGTACAGCGTCCGCCTTTCCCATGGCATGCGGCGACAGAGCGTGCACAATTGGATGTGCTCCGGGACATCCGGGCTGGAGGTCGCGAGTCCTTCCGCACTACTTGAATCGCCGCCCTGCTTGCTTAGTGTTTGGGGAGGTTCTACCTTGCTTTGCGGGGATGGAACTACTTAGCTAACTGACCTAGCATCCTACTAAGTAACCTCACTTAGGTGGCATCGCTAACCTACTTCGCTAACCTACTTAGGGAACTTAGCGGAACTTAGGGGGAGTCGGCGCTAGGTCCGCTAACCTAGGTTAGTTCCCCCTGTAAGTTGGCCCACAGAGGCTCATTTTGAGAACCAGCCGCCTCAATTTCGGATGACTCCTCACGCGGTTCGTGCCCCCTGGACGGGGCGGTCGGGAGGGGCCAAGGCGAAGAAAGAGGGGAAGGGGAGGAGGGGATGAGGAGGAGGAGGAGGAGACGGAGGAGGAGGAGAAGGAGGGGGAGGAGCGGAAGGAGGAGGAGGAGGAAAATAATTGAAGCCCTAAGGCTTCATATTTTGCTGAATGCGCTCTGTGCGCCGCTATGCCCAGAACTGCTGAGGCCTCCAAGGACCAGGTGTCCGACGGTGCATGGCGAAAGCCCAGTGCAACATACACTTTGATTTTACACAAGCAGCCACAAGAAAAGCATCAGTGCGTAACGACATAATGAAACGGCGCGCCATCCCTCCCTCCAACGTTTGCCCATTCACCATCCTCATCAAGCGGCCCTACTGGCCCTGAGCTTGAGCTTGGCAGGAAAGATAACGTCAGACACGTTGCCCACAGAAGTTGGGCGGAAAACGCACGGCTCCAAAACTTGGTCGCTGAGAAGTAATTGCAGGGAGGTCCCAACCCTGCACTTAGCAGAGGCACAATTCAGCTCTAAAAGTTCCCATCGTACAACCAGTGAGACAATATCATTATTGATCATGCAATGGCAGATCACCTGGCCGAAGCAAATGGCACCGTGAGAAGAAACAAACGCCACGACATCATCATTTTTCACAAGCCTACATTTCACGTGCAAAGAATTGCTCACAATGATACTACTGTTCAATGGCAGGGACGTGCATTCAGCAATCATCGCCAGCAAAGCTGTACTGGGAGCCTTAGGCTCCAGCAGATCTGTCTGCACAAGAGGACGCTTGAGATCGTGAAGGTGCTGCGCTGTGCACTCTTCCAGCATGCCTCGGTCGCATGATGTAGTGTTGTGCCGAGGTTGCGCCAGCCGCTTCATGGCGCGGTGCTTGCGTTCCATAAGGAACACCGAGATCAAGCAGCCATGTTTAAAAAGTTGGAGGGGGAGGTGGAGCACCCAGTGAGATTTGGGTTTCCAGAGGGCGGTGCCCCACGCAGCCTTGTGCAAACCAACGTGCCTGCCTATAGCCTCGCCAAGCTCCGATGGCTTGACGAGGCCACTGTTCGCAATGGTTAGCAGGCTTAAAACTTTGCACAGGGCGAGAGCGTTCTCAACTGCCTCACGGCAGTGGCCGCGGGGAACCGCCAAGTCCAAGAGAAATTTCTCAAGCACAGGAGCCGCAGAGAGGTATTCCGACGAATTGCCAGACGGATGGTGGTCTTTGTGCTTCCCACATACATCGACGGCGCTCCCATAACCACTAGGCCAGCTCCAACATTGTAGATATTGATGCAACGCAGGGCCACCCAAACCATGCGGGCGAAGAAGGTCCATGAGAGCCCTGAATTCGTATACGAAGTTGCCGTCCACACAGTAGCAGTGCATCCAGTCCCAGCCCCACACCTCCATGAGGTTGATGTCCAAGTTACGGTCTTGCATGTGGGACGTCGGCATGTAACAATACCCATACAGAGCCTCCAAGCTGTTGAGTTCAGGGCCCCGCCCACTTCGACGAAACACGTCTGCAAGTCTACGCTGAATACTCTTGATCTGACTGCCAGTATACAGTTGAAACTGTGATACATCTGTTTCCGAGCCCACAACGAACAACCCTGTCGTGTCATCCTTAAGTGCTGACCGATGACCAATGACATTGCTGCAGAGGGCACAGATTTATGACCAGTCGCTCCTTCTACTGCTGCCGAGCTCTTGTGTGCGCGTTCATCCTGTATGCTGATCTTCAGCTTACCGAATACACTCCTTGGCGACGATTCGCCTGGCAGCTTGAGTGGCACGCCTGACCTCAGATCGTCTTTGTCAGGAGATCCGAAGAACAATTTCAATGTGTATTTGAATAGCTCCGCCATCCCTCCTGGCAACATGTTCACGGTGTCGCTTCGGTTGCACGAAATCGTAAACCACGCGAGCTCGTTGAATAGCCCAGGGAATCCTATTTCAAAGAAGCTCCAGTATACCGCTTGCAGGCGCCGAGCATGGTGCTCAGCGAGCACGTTGCTTGGTGTGACTTCGCCACTGTAAAGTATTACTGAGATCATGTTCGAATTCGAATCCAGAACCTGTTTGAGAAACGCTGCGAAGTTCGGAGATGCCGCACTCGCTGCTTCCAGAAATCCTAGAGGGTGCTGGAACCATAGATCGATCTCACCAGTGGACGTCGCACAAGTCTGCTTTTGCAGAAGCGGGCCAAATGATGTAGATTGAAAAGCGATCGCCTGCCGTTGCCGCCTCTGGGTTGTCTCGCTGAAGGCGTCAGGCAGGCCCTCGTCTCGAATCTGCTTCAGCAGTTTCGCCATCGCGCGAGCTGTTACATGGCTGTCCTTGCCGTGTGAACTAATTCTGGGCTTCTTGGCTTGTGGGCCAGACATGGTGCTGAAGCACTGAGCTGAGCCAAAATTGGCTACGGAGGGTTGGGCATCGGGAGGGGGAGTGGTTCTGGGATATTCGCAACGTTTGGGTTTGCCTCGAACTGCCCGTTTTGTGTCGGACGCATTTCTATAGAGGTGGACGGCGGCCTTTGACGTCTCTAGGGGCCCGAGCGGGTTGTGCCACAGCGGAAAGGGAGACAGGAGGAGAGCAGGAGAGAAGGGTGAGGACAAAGTAGGAAGGCATGAGCAGCAGCAGCAGCATAAGGGAGTGAATGAGGGTGGGGGGGGGGGGGGGGGGCAGCGGGAGACAGTGGCAGTTGTGTCAACATGATATTGCACGACGATGCGCTGCACCGTCCGCGTAACAGAACATCCTGAGTCTGCCAACGTCCCGAACCGACCCCCCCCCCAGCCCGTCTCAGAGGTTACCGACATCGCACAACCAGTGTTGTCAGCAATATTCGTTCGGAACCTCTCTATGTTGTGGATACGCTTCCCACATTTGCACACCCGATCTTTCACCGTCGCAACGTGATAGATTTGTCTTCGGCTCGACGCACGCGGCCCTGGGGGTCCCGAACTTTGATTTTGTAGGGTAGCAGCTCACGGGTAAGCTCACCAATTCGTTCATCGGATTGCTTCAGTGCCGTCCCATCGGCGAACACAGTAGTCACATCCTCTCCCATCTCCCGCACGTTTTCCCACAAGTTGTCGTTGATTCCATTCAGCGCATTGGTCTCCCTCTCGATTTCCTGTCGTCGGTTTCCCCCATCTCGCACTCGATCGCCCCCCCTGGCTCTTTTCTCCATCCCAACAGTCCCCCTTCTCCTCTCCACAACCTTCGGCCTGCTCCTCCGTCCCCGTCCGTTCTCATCATCCTCATCATCTTCGTCACGTCTTTCGTCCCTCGATTTACAGTGTCTATCGGTTTATCGTGTCCTTCGGTTTACCGTGTCCTCCCCACCTCCGTTTACCGTGGTTCTTTGTGTATCGGGTCGTTCGGTTTACAGTGCCCCTTTCCTTCGGTTTACAGCGTTTCTGGATTAGTCGAGCTGTTCGGTTTATCGTGCCCCCTTTCGTTCGGTGTACAGTGTCTCTCGTTTTACCGTGTCCCTCGGTTTGCCGAGCCCCCCCTTGTTTCGGTTTACAGCGTCTCTCGTTGTACCGTGCCACTTTGTCTCTTCATGCATCGCGCCCTCTCCGTCGGTTCACGCGCGGCCCCTCACATCAGACGAGTTGGTCCCAGCAGCGCGGGGGGTCGCGGCGGATCGGCGCGACATCGGTCCTGAAATCCATTGCGGTTGCCGGGGGGGGGGGGGGGGGGGGGGGGGCAGAGGCCAGGTGGTTGGGGTGGGGAAGGCTGGATGATGGATGATGGATGTTGATGACCCTGGTGGTCTCTCTCTTTTTCTCTCTCTCTCTCTCTCTCTCTCTCTCTCTCTCTCTCTCTCTCTCTCTCTCTCTCTCTCTCTCTCTCTCTCTCTCTCTCTCTCTCTCTCTCTCTCTCTCTCTCTCTCTCTCTCTCTCTCTCTCTCTCTCTCTCTCTCTGGGCGAAGTGGAAAACGCCAGCTGCAGGCTGCCTAGCGCGTTGCGTCATGCTCAATGCGCACATCGAACGGCAACGGCGACGTGTGTACAACAAAAACCTCGAGATGCGTTCCCACGTGTCCGAGGGGCGTCGCCAGGGTGCAAGCCTGCAGCGTCAAAAAAGGCGTAGCAGAGCACGCCAAACTAGGGCGTGTCCCATCTACTTCTTGGCTTTCGCCTTGGAGTGCTTCTGCCACACATCGCGGGCTGCCCTGTAGGCTTCCCCCGCCCAGGCCTTCGCCTGCTCAAGCGAAGCCCCTGCCTTCACAGCCTTGCCCTTCACGTAGCTGTAGGCCCTGCTCGTGTAGTGGTTCTCGCTCCTCAGCTTGACGTCCTGCGGGCGAATCATCATCGAGTAGTCGGGGCATTTCACGCCTCTCGGGATGGTGGGGATACTATGACAATGCCTCCTCTTCTTCCTCCTCCTTCTCCCCCCCTCCTCCGACTCCTCCTCCCCCTCCTCCGCTTCTTACTTCTCCTCCTCCTCCTCCGCACAACCCCCCTCTTCTCCGTCAGCCCTTACCCATCCTCCTGACCCTCCTCGGGAGGAAATGAAGATGTGAAGGAGAAGGGGAACCCTTTCTCCTCCTCCTCCTCCCCCATCCAATGTGGCCTGAAACTTTGACCGCCGACTTGGCCGCGGACTTCGGCTTCGCCTTGGCCTTCCCCTTGGGCGTCGCGGGGGCCGTCGGTTCCTCGGCTGCGGCTGGCCTCTTCATGCCGCGGTTCTTGCCCTTGCCTTTAACACTGCCCTTGCTAGGCTTGGGCGCATCCCCGAGGCGGTGGCCAGCCGACGCCGCTGCCTCCCTCATGCGGTCCTCGATGTGGCGCGCCTCATCGTCATCACTTGCATCGTGCCCGTCGCCTGCGACTGGTGGAGGTGGGAGCGCAAGCATGCCGCCAGGGACGGCAGCATCTGGCCGTGGCGCGGGCGGCGCCAACGGCGTCAGCGAGTCCTCCAAGCTGTCGCATTGGGCAGCGCGGCCGCTATCCAGCGGCAACGTAGAAGCACTCAGTGAACCAGGGGATGCCGACCTTGCCCTCCCAGTCTGGCCCAAGTGGTGAATGCGAGTAGCGTATGCGCCTTCAGCTCCGCCGCGCGCTCCAGCTCCGCCGTGCGCTCCAGCTCCGTGAGCATGGCCAAGCATGGTAAGGGCTGGCTGGTTACCCATCATGCCAGTAAACGCTCCCATCAACTGACCGAGCATGGCGACAGCCGCTTGTTGACCGTCATGTGGGAGCGGCACCGAGGGCGGGGCCGACTTGGACCGCAGATCCTTGTGGGTCCCCTTGTAGCCCATCGCGGAGATCTCAAGCTCAACCTGCGCTGGCTGAAGTTCAGCGGGCGCAGGGATCGGAGGCTCGTCCTGGTACGCGAAGTCCCTGACATTCTGCGCGAGCAGCTCTGGCGTGTGGGGGTAATTAGTGATATGGGCGAACGACCACCGCTGCCTGTCGAGGTGCTTGATTACGGTCTGGAGCTGCTTGCACAACTCCTTCTTAGTGGTCACGTCCATGTTGCCAGGGCTGCTGTAGGTGAGAATGATCGCGACGCCTCGCTTGAGCAGGGATTCGCACGGGCAGGTGACGCCTATGCGCCACATCCTGTTGCCCATGCAGTTGATCTTGAAACTCAAGGTCAAGTCTGGACTGTCGAACACGCCCCAGTCATGCGCCGTGAAGAAGGCAGCCAAGTTGGGGCAACGCTGCTGCGCCCTCGCCCCTGACGAAGGGCGTGGAGCTGTGATGGCATCGGAGACAGCCTGGCACAAGCTGTTCCTCTGGGTAGGGAGCCACGGTCCAGTAGTGATCGCCGCAGTGACCACCGTGCCGTCGGCGAACGTCAGGCCCCTGGTTTGGGCGATGGTAGCCATGAGGGCGTGCGACTGCGAGCTCAGGAGGGCGTTGCGATCCATGCCTGCTGCGGCCTGGGCGTCCACGAACGCGACCCTCTGGTTGATAATGTCGACCAGCTGGGTAGCAAGGTTAGCGGCAGCTGGCGCAGCCACCCGCGCTGGTGAGTGGCACGACGTGGCGCTGGTAGAAGTGGGTTGGCACGCGAACGCCTCTCACGTGAGCCAAAATGGGCTGCGATGAAGTCAAGGGTGCACGCGGTGAGGGGAAGACGGAGGGGGTCGATTGCACGCTTACCCCCTCGGCGTCCGTTTCGTTTGGCGCCGGGAGGCGGGGCCAAGACCAGAGCTATCGTCGGCGCGATTCGAGAGGTTGGCGGCTCGTCGCAATCGCATCGAGGGTTCATTTCATCATTGGTCAGATCAGGGTGGGACGGCGTCGTCGGGAGCACGAAAAGTCACAAGTCCCCCAGCCGACTTTCGACTATAGTCACAGGTCGGCTGGGGGACCTTTGACTATAATCACAGGTCGGCTGGGGGACTTGCGACTCCCCTGGGGAGTCACAAGTCCCCCAGCCGACCTTTGACTATAGTCACAAGTCCCCCAGCCGACCTGTGACTATAGTCGCAAGTCCCCCAGCCGACTTGTGACTTCGGCCCTCTCAGGTATCACTTTCATCCCTGAGACGCCGTTGCCCGCCAGGAGGCTTGACAACTCCCCAAAGCTACGCTGTCAGCGAGCGCATGTGCGGTCTATTTCGACGGATTGGCAGCGCACCCCAGACGTCAGGAGAAGGAGGATCGAGGATGGTGGAGGTGACGATGCAGGCGAGGACCGATGGGTGGAATGATGAGGATGCTCTGATTTTTCTGCTGCTCGCGCGTGGGTGGACTACATAGTTCTGCCTTTGCCAAGGCTGCTTTCGGTGGCCGTGCGTTATGCAATGGCCGACTGTTGATTGCAACTGGAACCCCCTCGAGACTACACGCGAACGGCCTGACAATGAATACTGCCATCCCCTATGCCATGATGTTCGGTAGAACAGAGTGGTTTAGCAACAGCTGTTGGTACTGAATGCGGCGCGCTGAACACACACTGCGCTCGCGCCCGTGAGTCGTTCCTATACATGCGCTCTCACACTACTCGTCATCGGGAAGATCCGCGTCAGACTGGTCCTTGAGGCGGTCGTCGTGGTGCTCGTCATAGAAGACCTGGAGCACCCTTGCGCCGCGAGAAACCCTCTCCTGGAAGTTCGGGCCCTTGGGGGCCCTCTCCATCTTCAAGCGCCACCTGGCCCCGTCAAACCACCGCGTGTACAAACTTGAGCGGCGACGCATCCACAACACATTCGGCTCAATGATCGTCGGGACAAACTCAGGCACCTGAGGCACCATGGGCTTCCTTGTGAGAAACTCAAAGTTGCCTGTCCTGAGCTCCATGGTGAGCTTGGCCCTGGGGTTAGCTGTGGGGATGACCTTCATAGTGTGTGTGTTGTTGTCAACGTCTTTGAGTTCGATGATGATGTACGGGTCAAGGTCATCGATCTGCTCCTTCCTCGGGCGCTTGTTCGGTCTGTGCTCCCCATCCTCATCGATATCGCCGATGAGGCCGTTGATCGCAAAGTTCTGGCCGAGCAGGAACTCTGTCTTGACGTTCCGCAGCCTGATCGCTTCGTCGAGCATCTCGAAGTTGCGATTCAGATATGCAGCGAACTTGCATTCCAGCCGATTGCACTTCACGAATTTCAGCCCGACTTTCTCTTCTATCTCTGCGAACCACGAGTTGGTGGACGTCGGCTGGTCCGCCATGGAGACGCGAGCGAAGCCCTCGACAATGGTCAGCGGCATTGCGCTGACAGCGCAGAACAATGATGGGCAGCGAAACGGCTTGAGCCAAAATGCTTACGTTGATGGCGCCGCTGCTGTCGCGTACCCTGGGTGAGTTCACGCGCAACCACCGATGCCGACATCTCCCCAACCAGGACTTGCACTGCACACGGGCGGGCCACGACACCGCCGCGGGCCCAAGAGCGAAACGCGAAAATCTCAGCGCCCTCGCTGACGAGGGACCCGCCTCGCATCACAGCGAAAAAAATGAGGATGAGGAGGAGGAGGAGAGTATACGAGGAGGAGGAGGAGACGGAAGATGCGGAGGAGGAGGAGAGGCAGGGATGGGAAAAAGGATCATGAGGATAAGGGGGGAGGAAGGCGGGGCAGACACGGCAGCCCCAATGACCAGCGGAAGAGGAGGGTCCTGGCTCGGAGGTCAGGAACACGCGCAAGACAAATTGTTGCCGATTGGATGCGCGAGGACGGGAAGGATGAGAGGGATGAGGAGGAGAAGCAGGACGAGGAGCAGGGGACGGGGAAGGGCGCTAAGTGCTATGACCCTGTGTTATCGGATGGCCCTGTCTGGTTGCCGTCTCTTCTCTTGGCTCATGCGCTCCCATTCTCGTCATCCGGTTCCTCTTCATCCTCCTCTTCCTCATCCTCATCTTCCTCCTCCTCCTCGTCCTCTTTCTCTCTCCCTCCTCGGCGCCCCCCGTCCTCTCTCTCCCCCGATCCTCCTTGACGTCCTCTTCCTCCTCCTCCTCCTCCTCATCCTCCTCCTTCTCATCCTCATCCTTCTCCTCCTTTACCGCTGACGCCGTCGTCGCCGTCGCTGCCGTCGCTCGGGGCTCGGGGCGCCTGCTCGATCATCCTTCGGCGAGCTGCAGAACAGGCCAGCCCCCAATGAGGCGGTGGAGGGCGCGGGCGAGGGCGATGAGAGTGAGATGTGCGCAGTCGTTGCTGCCTGTTCTATGTCCTCTCTCTCTCTCTCTCTCTCTCTCTCTCTCTCTCTCTCTCTCTCTCTCTCTCTCTCTCTCTCTCTCTCTCTCTCTCTCTCCTCTCTCTCTCTCTCTCTCTCTCTATATATATATATATATATATCCCTCCCTCGGGCTTCCAGACACACTGACGTGAGAGCCTTCTGCCCTTCCTCCTCCTCCTCCTCCCTCCTCCTCCTCCTCCTCCTCCTCCTCCCCCTCCTCCTCCTCCTCCTCCTCCTCCTCCTCCTCCTCCTCCTCCTCCTCTTCCTTCTCTTCCAGATCCCCCTCCTCCTCCTCCTCCCCCTCCCCCCCCTCCCCCCCCCCCTCGCCCTCCCCAACCCTCTCAGGAAGAAAAAAAAAAAAAAAAAAAAAAAAAAAAAAAAAAAAAAAAAAAAAAAAAGGGGGGGCAGGTGTTTCTACAAGGAGCACGGCATGAGCAGGCCCGACTGGGCAAGATGTAATCGGCAGCGCCGCCAGCGTTTCACAGCTGCCGCACTCGGCGCCGACAAAAAAAAAAAAAAAAACAAAAAAAACAAAAAAAAAAAAAAAAAAAAAAAAAAAAAAAAAAAAAAAAAAAAAAAAAAAAAAAAAAAGCCACGGACGTGGTAGCAACGATCCCGCATGCGGTGCCCACTTCTCGCTCGATCTACGCCCCCCTCATCTTCATCTTCCGTTGGGCTCTCCACCCGAACACACTCTTGTTCCTCGACCCCCATCCCTCCCTCCCTCTTCTCCCACGCTCATTCGACATGCTTATCTGATGCGTTCCTTTCGTGGCGTTGATTGAAGTTGGCCTGCCGATTTCGAGCCCCCTGCAATCGTCTTCATCGTAACCATCGTCGGCAAGCCCCCCATCCCCTTCTTTCTGCCTTCTCCTCCCCCTCCTCCTCCTCGCCCTCCTCCTCCCCTCCTCGCCCCCCTCCTCCCCTCCTCATCTTCCTTCTCCTTGGCTCCCTCCTCTATGTTCTCTTGCTTCCTCCTCTTCCTCATTTTGCTTGCAGCCCCCTTCCTCCCTCGGGAGGGGGGGGGGGAGGGGCGCCGCCGTTGCAAGCTGTCCGAGGCTCGTCCAGCGCAGAGAGGGAGCTGGCCAACATATTGCAATCTATAGAACACTATAGAACTGCGCACACGGCAAAGAGGAAAGCGCTGCAGACACAATTGAGAGCACGACCCACGCACTGGCGCCTAAGCGCCCTTCGACCGCTTGGGGGGCAGGGCCAGCCTTAGCGCCTGGACGGAGCAGCGGGCAACCCTTCGAGATGACCTTAGTGTTTGTCAACACTGGGAGTTCTATCACGACGTCGGTGCCACCAGTCATGCCAGTCCGCGCAGACACCGAAATTTTGATGGCATCCATCTTCATGTTTGGCGAATCACTGTCTGTGGCGGTCGGCACAAGCCAATAGGGAATTAAACACGTGTGCTGGTCAAGCTTATCGGCTGGCGGGAGATCGACCTTCGGGCCGAGGTAAGCAGACTGAGACGTGCCCTCAAGCAATTTAGACAAATCAACTGGCAACGCTGATTGCTGGGGCTTGCTAGTGACGATCACACTGGGCGAAAACGGCACTAGACACAACTTTCCTTTTTCGTATTTCCTACCAGCGGTGATCGATTTCACACTCAACTTAGGCTTCAAGGAATATGTGACAGACACCTGAACGTTCGATTCATGCTCAGAGTAAGCGTGATGCACGGCACAGCGCAGCAGGGCCTTGGCGAGCTCAACCTTGCACTCGGAGAGCTCCTGGGCACGCGCGGGGTGGAGAAAGGAGAGGGGGGGATACAGAAATCGCTGTCGCTGATGCCTCCTCCTCCTCCTCCTCCTCCTCCTCTCCCGTCTCCTCCTCCTCCTCCTTCCCCTCTTCGTCCTCCGCCTCATCTTCCTTCTTCTCCTCCGCCTCACCCTCCCTCATGTTCCTCCTCTTCCTCCTCCTTCTTTCGTCCACGCCCTCCTCCTCCTCATCATCATCATCATCACCCCCCCCCCGTCCTCCCTCTCCACCTCAGCCCCTCCCCTCCCCCCTGCTATACATACAGACAGCTTCGCTGCCGCAATGGGCTCCTGGATCTGGAAGCCGTCGGAGCCGCCGACGCCCACCGTGAGGTCCACCGACTTCTTGGCAACCTCGGGCTGGCAGGGCCACCCACCAGGCCTCTTGGGGCCCTCCCCTCTCCTCGTTCTTCTTCCTCGCATTCTTGCTGCTCCTCCTCCTCCTCCCCCCCTACCCCTCCTCCCCCTCTCCTCGGCCCCCTTCTGTTCATTGGCAGCCTCTCCTGTCCCTCATCGGAGGCTGGAAGAACACACATCTCGAAATGCGTGTAACCTGCTAAGACTAACCATCAACAACACATGGCAACACAGAGAAACACAGAAGAGCAGCCTTGAACTCGTCGGCGAGCTGACCCAGGGGGAGCTTCAGCATGGACTTCTTCTGGCCCGCGATCAACTCCACCTCGACCGAGTCGCCGCCGATGCCCTTGACGGTGCACGCGTTGCCATCGTCACCAGCGGCTCTCTCGAGGAGGGCACCGACCACATACCCCATCTCGTGCAGCGACGCTGCCGACAAGACAGCTGCTGCTCCCTGAAACTCTCGGATGCAACTGCGCTTCTCGCCATCTCCTGATCCTGGCTTGCGCGTCGGCTCGACGCAAGACCACGGAGCCCGAAGAGACCGAGCACGCGGGGCAAGTGCGTAGACGTCGCCGAGGAAGGTGCTGCAGATCTCCTGCGCTGTCTTGCATTGGACCTTCCCCTTGTTCTTCTTACCGTGGATCACCATGCAAGTTCGCACCTCCATGTCGCCGACGAGCTTCGCCTTTTGCGAAGGTGTCAGGCCCTTGACGGTGTCCAAGAACGCCCTGGCCTTGACGAAGTCCGCGCTGGCCGAAGCGACGGTGCCTCGGATCTTGGAAATACACTCCGTCAACTCAGCGCTTGTCCAGATCTTGTTGATGTTATCTTTGCAGTAGTTCTCTGGGGCCGTCATGGCAGTCTTGGCCAGCGCGTTCACGTAGAAGGGGCATGACGTCAGCGACAGAGATGCCAGCAACGTCCACGGCTTGCCATCAACGTCCCTGCGAGTCCTCAGCTGGCCAGCGAACTCCTGCAGATCATGGAGGAGTATTGGGTTCTCACCGCCTGACCACTGGCGCACGTATGCGCACATCCCCGTGGCGTTGCCAGCCTCGACCTTCTGCGAGCGCACGACGTCCGTCTCGATGGCATCCCAGCATGGATCACCGTGGACATCGACGTTCGACTGCGCCATCTGGTGGATCATGAGAAGGGACTGAACAGCAGTGGTCTTCCGATGCGTGTCGTTCGAAGCATTGCCAGCTTCTTGGACTACGTCTGCGAACAGCGGGCAAGCGAGGTCAACCTGGTACGATCGTCCACTCCATCCCGCTCTCTAACGGAAGCTCATACGACTTACACATCGCAACTACTTCGTCTCTTGAAAGCTTGCCCTCGTTGTCAGCGCACTCGTCCAAGGTAGTTGTGCAGCCGTGCTTCACCGCCCTGACGCCAGCGATGGCCCGCGCCCCAACGATTTCTGGGGCGGGGCCCGAAGGAGTCACATGAGCGAACGGTGTCCTTATATGCGAGCCCACACGCCAACAGGTCATTGATGATATTGTGAACGACACTCTTGATATGCTTATCTGTTGGATTCACAGTACTGCGTATCTCCTGACACGAACGGTTGATCATCGGTGCAAGGCGGTCGAGGTGTGCCTGCAATTCTGGACTCAAGGTCCCCGAAGCTTGCGCGTCGCAAGCCATGGGACAACTGGAGGCTCGCGGGCACGAGTTGTGCTGAAGCCTGAAAAATGGGGCGCTTGCCCAAAAATGGCTATGATTTCACGCCAAAGTTAGGGGAACCCTCAGTGGATACGACCTCTGATTTTGAATGTGCAAACCTGGACATTGCGGCATCGATAACCAAATCCTCAAACACTGCCTCCTGATTCTCCCCTTCCTCCTCCTCCATCCCCCCTCCTCCTCCTTCTCCTGCCCCCAGGCCCACGGAAGCCCAGACTGGCTAAGTGGACTTAGCGGAGATAGCTAATCTCAGGTTAGTGGGCTGTTGCTAACCAGGTTACCGATTCCCTAACCTCACTTACTTAACCAGGCTATCTCGGATACGGCACTTACATAACATATTTACAACCCTTCTCGGAACTCGCGTGGACCCCTCAAAGTAAGTTGGCTGATTAGCTAACCGCGCTATGCATTTCAGTCACTTCGCTAAAGGAGTTCGGAGGATGAATCTTGGTTCAGTCACTTAGACCAGGATATATACAAGAAGTAACTCGTGCTATCCATACTTAAAGCTACTTCAAACCAGTTCCGAAACGCGCAAACCAGTTAGGAACCACCGCGGCGATCCAAGTATGGCGGCACGCAATGGGAAGACCGAGACGGAGTTTTTATATCATCTTGCCGGCATCCCCGTGCCGTCCTTAGGCGGGCCACCGCCCGGGGGTCCGGGTACCACCCATACTAGTTCAGCCCGCGCACAGCGTGGGCAACTACCTGCACAACGGCACCGGTGCAGATGGGAATTCGACGGGTGCGTGCGATCTATGGCGGGATGAGTACGGGTACAGCATTGGTACCTACAGTTTTTCGGGCAGCAACGTCGTTTACGTTAGCGCCAACACCATCGCCAGCATCGGCTTTTACATCCTATTCCACGGTTTGCAGGAGAGGAGGAGGGACGATAAAAGAGGAACGCATTTTTATCTCTTCCATTGTCACTCCTGCTTTGGCTCCGACTTCCGACACCTTCACCGATCTTACTACACATTCTGTTTCCGACTTTTTCGTTGACCTTCCGATTCCGGTTTCGACGGTTTGTCTTTTCGATATGAACATTTGTTTCGAGGGTGAAAAAAGTGGCGGACGACAGTACGACGAACGGCAATGGTTTTACGACGACGGTAAACATCGATATGGCAAACAACGGTTCAACGATGACGAACAACACCGACATGATGATTGTGCCGTAAAGCCCGGTATCATTTCGATTCCTAACCTGGCTCCCGACGGCAATGTGGATTTGTGTCCGACTCCGTCTCCGGCATCTGTCCGCTTTCCGACTCGGGCCCCTGACCCCAGTTGCCGATTCGAGGAACACAATCAGGACAAATCAGCGATTTGTTTGGAGATATTGCCGCGCGCATCGTTACCATTTCCGACGCCATCATCCACGGCTATTGCTTAGCACGGTAATGTTCCAACTCCGGTCTCCGACGGGATCGCTATCTCCATCGGGATCAGCATTGCCGGCGGCACCAAGGACAATACCAACGATTACACAGGGGCGAGCAATAACATACGGCGACAAAATTGGCATCAATACGGGTGCGACATCCACGGTCCGCATGAAAGAGGAAAGAGGATTTGCATATTTTCGATGTCGGTTCCCGAACGGCCCACCAACATACTATTCATTAAGATTGAGCCGTTTATTTGTCCGACTCCACCTCTCGACTTGCTTGCATCTTCCCTGACCCTCGCTACGTCTCTTCCGATTCCGGCTTCCGACCTATGTCTCGATTATTTTTTTTTTTTTATTTGACCCTGACTTTTCCGACCCCAGCTCCCTAGGGCTCCGCCAACCCACCCGATCTTCTCGACACGTTTCCCTTTTCTTGCCGATATTTGTCCGCATTTTGCTACTGATTCTCCAGGCTCACGCCACATCCGCCGACCCCTTGATTTGAACCGGCGGCTATCGCCGCGTTTCCGCCTTCAGTGCTCGTAGCTGCCAGGCGTTACAGTGCAGTGGCAAGTGCCAGAAGAAAAGATTGAGAGGCATGGCAAAGCGCATGGAAAAATGTACGTTTCACGAAGGGAACGGGCCAATGTTTGCGCCGAGGGGCCCTCCTGGGACGCATCTTGGAGGCCTCTTGGGGCCTCTTGGGGCCGTCTTGGGCCGTCTGGAGGCGATCGTCGGTGTCTTTGATCGCTCTTCGACCGTCTGTGACCATATTGAGCTCTCTTGGAGGCCACTTGAAGCGCTCCTGGAGCGCTCTTGGGGCCGTCTTCGGGGCCCTCTTGGGCAATCTTGGGCGCCTCTTGGGCTGTCTTGGGGCTCTCTTGGGCTGCCTTGGAGCTTCCCTGGAGGCTGCTTGGACCGTCTTGGGGCGGTATTTAGAGCCTCTTGACCCGTCTGGGAGCGTCGGAAAGCCCAAAAAGCGAATTCGTGAAAAATGTACGTTTTACGAAGGGAATGGGCCAATTTTTGCGTCTAGGGACCCTCGTGGGACGCATCTTCGAGGCCTCTTGGGGCCTCTTGGGGACCTCTTGGGCCGTCTTGGAGGCCTCTTAGCCCGTCTTTGAGCCATCTTGGGCGTCCTGGAGCGCTCGTTTGGCGTCTCGGGGCTCCCGTGGGCCGTCTTGAAGGCCTCTTGAGGCCATCTTGGCCCGTCTTGAGGCTTCCTGGGTCCCGGAAAAGCCCCGGCGGCGCTCGTCCCGGGCCCGGGGGGGGCGTTCGTCCCGGGCCCGGGGGGGGCGCTCGTCCCGGGCCCGGGGGGGGGGGTCAAATCGCCGGTTTGGGTCCCGGGGGGGGGACTATAGGGGGGGGAACTATCTCACACACCTAGAGACCCACAAGGGGTCGGCGGATTCCGATGCGTTCCCACACCCGACCGTCGAAATTGTATTTCCGACCCTGGTTTTCGACTGCGATTTCGTGTTCCTGCGACCTATATCCTACTCCGGCTCCTGACGGCATGGTACGCAACTCCCCAATTCCGGCTGCCGATTGGTATGACATATTCCGGAATCCGACGACCTTCGACAACTTACACCATGACTTGCATTACACATGTAATGAGCACGATTGCGGCAAATATACCAAGGTTTCGATAGCGGGTCCAACACAATACATGGGGGTTGAGAATTGCACAATCTTCTAGATTATGGTGGATATCTTCCGGCACGACTGGTATGGATTTGCGGTTACGACGGTTATTCCGATTCCCACGCGGTATCATTGTGATATTTCGGGCTATATAGGTCCAAGTACCTCAAGTACCACGAGAATTACATCCACCACATTAGGACCACTTACGACATCAGTATGACTGACACTCAACAGCAACCACCAACTACGGTGCCAAACCGTCCGCTCCTTCCCCCTCCATCTACTCCGTACCCGTTCACTCAGCCCATTTTTGTTCCCAGTCCCTATCCAACCCCAATGGACAGGCACGTCGATGGACTCGCGGAGCCACTTTGCCCAGGCAAGGATGATTACGAACCACCTCCCCGGGTTGTACCAAGCCGTACAGAAGCTCGGAGCTCCACTCGTATGGGGAAGCTTCTTGGACCACTACCAACTCTTGGTCCCGAGAAGCCCTCATCTGACTATCTCCCAGACCACCCTAACCCAACCCGAAGACCCGAATTTCGGGTTGGGGGGGTAAGGGTTCCACATGTGTTTTTTCCACGTTTCCCGACCCCCCCCCACTGGAAATCGAGGGTAAATCTGACCCTTTGGGTTGGGTTGGGGTGGTTTGGTGGGTGGTGATCATCAGTACTTGTTCATGAGATCGACGATCGGAGCGAATACGCCACCCCACCTCTTTCCCCGAGATTTCCGCCCAGCCCTCGCCCGCCCTCTCCATTCTTATTCCCACGCCTTTCCGACGATCTCTTTGATAACGGCGGCGGACGCGCTGACTCCCCGCCACTAACCCTTCCACCTGGTTTTCCACCAAACTACCATCAAGTAATCCTTCTGGATAAACCTGCGCTCCCCTCTGCCCCCCAGCTACCACGTGATGACGCTTCTGTTCCGCCCCACGTTCCCCCGCCCGGAGGGCCCCGTCGTGGCCCCAAACCTCCATCGGGTTCGATTTCATGAGTTCTGGCCCGGTCGAGGGTTTGCCAGCGCACCCCCTCGTTCAAGCATCTGCACTCGGCCCATGTGACCACACACCCCCTCCTGAGCCCGGGACACCCCCACTACATCCAGGTATGAGCGACATTGACGACGATAGCGATGACGAAAGAATCCAAGTTACAGGCATCCGTAGTGGAAACACCTCTCCCCCTGCGGACAATATCCTCATTTGATGCCTACTGGGGATTCCCGAGCATTTGCATTGGAAATTCTACAATTGTTGGAAGGACTGCCCAACAGATGTGCAGACGAAAATGTGGTATTGTTTCAATCTCGACAACACCGATGGTCTACAGCTATGGTGCCTATAATCTGGTCAACTGTCGAGGAGGACGCAACACACCCAATATTAGATTGGATCGAGCATTTACTATTGTTTTCTGGAAGTGCTTTCGAGGACGCTACATGTTCAGAAAACTCCAACGCAGCCCGGCTCTGGGACGCTTACGACGCCTTTGTACGAGGCATTCCAAGTTTTGGGAGTACACGGTCCAGAACATCTTCTTGCTTGGTTACAAAACGAGAGATTCGATGTGACAAGGGTGGAAATTGAAGGGGGTATTCCTTGGGATATGGAACAACACATCTTACACAAATGCACCAATTTACGACCAACTGCCACACGATTTCAAACCGCACTTGTTGCTGCAGTGGGTGATTTTGATCCGGGCTCCGAGGGTGCGGCTCTACATCTCCAATCCACAATTGCCCCATGTACCCCCTCTTTTTGTCCCATCCGCAGACCAACCCCGCCAGCCAGAGCATTTCCCCGAATATCTCCACCTAGTGCCTCAACGGGAATCTAGGTCATTTACGAAAAAGATATTACGGCTATTGGACGAACTTCCACCAGGAACGGTGGATGAGGATCTCGTGGTGGACCTGTGTCGACGACAACAATGGTCGTTCGCTCTATTAGTGACTATTATCACGCCAAATAGGATACTCAATCCAACTACTATCCAAAATATGTTTACCGCGCTCCGTGGAGCTTTCAGGAATATGGGCATTCATACTTACAATAACGTTCACGGGTGGTTGCAAGATGAAGGTTTCGACACTACGGGGAGGGATGTGGGAGGGTATATGACAAGGGAAATGCAAGAACGCATTATGGACCGGGCTACGACATTCAATCCAATGGTAGGCGAATTTGGATCGACATTTGTCGGAGGATGTTTCGCATTGTTCGAACTTCCCGAAATTCGGTTCTACTTGTCGCACGCTATGCAAGACCTTATCGCTCATCGCACGCCGTCACACCAACAACGACCGCCCCGGGCTAGGCCAGACCAGCCTCCCCACCCCATCGCTCCAGAACCCGCACTGGAACCACGCTTACGCCGACCGCCTGGAGTGGCTCCGTTGACGACGGGATGGGCGCACATTTCGATTATCGACCTTACGACGGAAATACACATACCGATACGAACGCTGCGGAAAATCCCGTGGAGCATTCGGGATCAGTATGTCCGCATACTTACACAGGTGTTGCTAAGTATCGAAATGTCGTATGCGCTCATATGCGCCTGGCGATGCGCGGCGTCCTTCCCCTACTATGGCATGGACTCTGTTCATCCTCCTCCCAAGGCTCCTATTACACCATACGGTCCGAGGTGGCTCAGCAGGCGAACGAGAATTACGACAACGTATCGCATGGTTCGATTCGGGCAGATGGGACAAATTGGTGACGTCGGCTCATAAACTTCCAATCGGCGCAAACCCATCAAGAAACAACCAGACCTGGAGACACTAAAACTTGAGCAAGCTGTCCGGCTAGCTAAGATGGGCGAGTTGAGCCATGCAGCACGAACTCTATCATCATCAGGGCTGGCGCCCGGCACGGACGCTACTCTACAAGAGCTCCGAGACCCACAATTACGACCAGAGCATCCAGCAGAACCATTTCCACAAGAATTCAACGAATTCCAGCCAGCGAACCCAATCAACCTGGATAGGGATGTATTTAGGGAGGTTCTACGACAAACGCGACGGGGGTTATCTGCAGGCTTGTGGGGTGCGAGGTATGAGCATTACAAAGTATGCCTAGAGAACGACACCGCGTTCGAAGCTTTGGGCAACGTTGCGGAGCGCTTGGCACGAGCAGACATACCAATTGCCGTCAGAGACGCTTTGCATACCTCGAGTCTGACCGCACTCACTAAACCGAACAACCGGGTGAGGGGGATCTCAGCGGGCGATACTTTTCGCAGGCTGGTGGCCAAGACGTTGGCAAAACAATGTGCGCAAGATCTTCAAGATGCGGTCTGGCCGACAAATTTCGGAATCTGCAGCGCCAGTGGCACAGACGCTGCGGTCCACTATTTACGCTACAGGGCTGAAGCCGACCCAAACAAAGTCATCATGAGCA